CTTGAATAAACAATAGATAGAGCTTAACATTGTGGACATTTCTGTCCCTGTCAGAGTTTTCTATTTATAGCGGTTTTCAAAATAATAGGCAAAACTTGCATTTTACCCCTATGCTCTATTTTTAGCCATGTCGGCCATCGTGGTTGGCAGGCGGGGTCATCATTAAACTAGATACCCCAACAATGACTGTGGCCAAGTTTGCTTATATTTGGCCCAGTACTTTCAGAGGAGAAGATTTTTGTAAAAGTTAACATACGACGGCGGACGACGACGATGGACGACGGACGACGTACGCCAACTAATGAGAAAAGCCTTTTAGGCTAGGTGTGCGAAAACTGTTGCATTTCCATATTGAAGGGACTGAGCAAGGAAAATATGAAGCAGGACCATAAGAATATATCAGACATGAAAACGTGAACGTGCTGTTGCTAGAAAATTTCACATCAGAAACTCCTCTTACTGTCCTTACAACAACGGTACAGGCAGACGGGATTTGTTGATAACCTGATTTATATGTATTAAAAACGCGAGGTCAATAAAGTTTGATTACACGAGACAAGTTAACGACTGAAACGTCAACTGCTAATCAAGTCGTCGAATGCCATGGCAGATAGATTCACGCTATAAAAGTTTCTCATATACTGAAATGCCAAAGAATCAACAACAGAATTTTTTTAAAAAAGGTAAAATTCATCATTTAAAGACATTACTCCTACAAGAAGTCGTTTGACAGGTTTTACTTTAATATACAATAGGTAAAGCTCAACATTCTTCACATTTTTCCCCTATCAGATTTTCTCTATTTAAAGTAAACAAAATAATAGGCAAAACTTGCATTTTACCCCGATCTTCTATTTTAAGCCATGTCGGCCATCTTGGTTGGCAGGCGGGGTCATCGGACACATTTTGTTAAACTAGATACCCCAATGATGATTGTGGCCAAGTTTGGTTATAGTTTCAGAGGAGAAGATATTTGGACGACGACGGATGACGGACGCTACCTGATGAGAAAAGCTCACTTGGCCTTTAAGGCTAGGTGAGTTAAAATTGTTCCATTTCCATATTGACATGACTGAGCAAGGAAAATATGAATCAGGCCATAAGAATATAACAGTCATGAATACGTGAACTGCTGTTGCTGGACAATTTTACGTCAGAAACTCCTCTTACTGGCCTTACAACAACTGTACAGGCAGACGGGATTTCCAGATCAATATGTAGTAAAAACGCGAGGTCAATAAAATTTTATTACACGAGACATGTGAACGGCCGCAACGTCAACTGCTTATCAAGTCGTCGAATGCAATGGCAGACATATGCACGCTATAAATGTTTCCCATATACTGAAATGCCAAAGAATCAACTATTTAGCCCTAAAGTTAAACCGAATTGCCAAAACACATTGTAATGGGTGGGACAGAGGCCAAATCAGAAGGTACAAAACAGAACTCAAAACATGCCCAAAAGAACTGGTTGACCTTTTTATCAATCGTGTAGGCGTTGATTACAGGAAGTAATTGCCTTCGAAGGTGACACATCCATTGACATGGGGAAAACCAGGTTTTCAGTTCATACCACATAATTTGAACATTAAATATGACGTATTCAATTCAACTTTCGAACTGCAAACTATTTTTAGACAATGAAGTAATGAATGAAATTTACTTTATTTTACAAGAAATGCATATTTGAAAATGAGACTTAAAAAGAATAATTTAGTGTTGCGTTTTTAACGTCCCTCAGTATATAGAGTTATTTATAGATATAAGAGATGTCCGTCAGTATATAGAGTTATTTACAGATATAAGAGATCTTAGATGCCTTTCGCAGCAGATGTTTTGATATGTTCAACCATCATTTACCATATTTTGGGACTCTATATATACTTGATACATACTCAGGAGTCGTTGGACCAAGTAACAATCTGTTATTTGATAACAAATAGCTGCAATACCTTCACTAAATCTTCTATAGTAACTACATAAGCTCAAAGTTATCCAACCTTGGCCAACATTTTATAACATCTATCTTCTTTGAATTTGAAGCTATCCCATCTTGAAAACAATGTGACTTATTTAACACATGACATAGGCAAAATCTCTGTGTTCTTACTGTGCTATAATCTGAATAATGCACGGCTAAGGTGTGCATTAACCACCTCAGATATACTACACAATTCAAATGTACTCTTATGTTTAGGAGCGGATCCAGGATTTTTCAAAGGCATAGAGACGTAATTCCATAAAAAAGTTTGACGGTTTTAGGATGAAACATTATATATTTTCCAATCAAAGGGGGCATACGCCCTCTTCACCCCCTCCCCCCAAATGACTATTTGTGGATCGAATTTAATGAGGTTTATATTCAAGTATGTGCCAAAACAGAAAAAATAAATACTAGTAAGTTGGAGATCAATCAGAAGTACATCAAACGGAACTAAAATTGTAAGAGATGTGGGTTATACGTCAATAAGACAGCAATCAAACGACAAAAACCACCTAAGCACATATAAAGTGCAACGTATAGTGTTCAATAATAGACAGGTATCTAAATAATATGTCAAGTTCTAAATCGTTAATGTCGGTATCAAAAGCTCACACAGAGCTTATGTTGTATTGTTATTCAACTTGTCGACTTAAAAGAAAACTTTTTTGTTTTGATTTGATCGTCATGAATTTATATAAAAATTGTGAATAAATTTAACAGAAACAATCAAAGATCTGCCGTTAAAACGCAATTCTCAAGATACTGTAACTATTTAGGAGAAAGCCTGAATATCAAAAAAGTTATAATTTAAAAGTTACCAACCTTTTACTACTTAAATGCGTATTCCCCCTTTTTTTACAACTGTTTCCAAATTTTGAAACGTGTTTGGCGTGTTTAATATATGGTTCATATCCTTTTTTTACAGAATCAGAGATTCCAGAGCATATATATCTTTATTTCTCAATAAACCATTTACATTGGAATGGTACAGAGAACACATAATATTAATAACAAATCAACATGTATGAGAGAGATGTCAGCCCGGATCACACAACCCTTTATTAACAATTTTAATAAATTTGCAGTTTCGAAAGTATCGATTTTCTTTTGCAGGTCATAAGATTTGGACGTTTTGAAAATTTTTCTTGAATAAATAAATTTCGGATGTTAGCAAATTTCCTGCATGACATAATGTAATGAAATTCGTCACCAATTTCATTCGAGTCGCATAATGTACAGATTCGTTTTTCACGTTGGATATTTTGCCATCTTCCTTGTTCAATAGGTAGCTTTTGATTTGTTGTCCTGAACTTGCAGAGTTCTACTATTTCGTTGGTTTCTAAAATATCAAAATAACTTTCGAATTCGAGTTTTTGTTTAAATAGCCGGTAACAAAGTGATTTTGACGAGTTTTCCATTTCACTATGCCAATTTTGTTCATATTGATCTTTCATACTTTGAACAACTGTGTTTACCAACCATCCCTTGTTAATAAAAGTGTGTGTGTTCCATACATATGCCAATCCACAATCATTGAGTATACTCATTATACTCGATAACCATGGATACCCTACATTATTTACAATATTCAATTGATAAATCAGTTTGTATGTTATAGAGGACAGTCTCGAACTTTTACCCTCAATTAATTTTGTCCAAAATGACACAATTCTTGCTTTTATATGTATTTCGAGAGGAAACCTTCCAAGTTCGCCATATACCATAAAAGATGGTGTTGACGATTTAAGTTGTAAAAGCATCTTACAAAACTTTAAGTGAACCCTTTCAATGATATCGTTGTTACCTGTTCCCCATATTTCGCAACCGTACAAAAGTGCGGGCACGACCATTTTATCAAATAGGTCTAACTGTATTTTAATAGACAAATTGTGTAATCTTCCTAGCTTTAAAACCTCATACATGGCTTTTAGGCCTTTACGAGAGGCTTCTTCTTTTGCTTTTTTAAAGTTTCCATTACGGTTAAGTAAAACTCCCAGATAGTAAAAATCTGTAACCGTCTCTATAATATTTCCCCTATATCGAAATTCTATTCCTCTTGGAAATTTTCCTCTCGAAAATATTACTATTTTTGTTTTGTTTACATTTACCTTTAGTTTCAATTTTTTACAATAGCTTGAGAACACATTTAACTGAAATTGCAAGTCAGAGGGGGTTTCAGCTATAAAAACAGTATCGTCCGCGTATAGAATAGCAAATAATTGAATATAAATTTCTAATTTTTCATTAAACTCTGCACTTATTGAGGTTAGGCCGTTAACGTTACAGCTTTTTATAAAATTATCAAGATCATTTAGGTAAATATCAAAAAGAAAAGGCGATAGATTTTCCCCTTGTCGTACTCCATTTAAACAGGGAAAATATTCTGATACTTCGTTGTTATAAACGATTCTGGATGTTGTATCTTTTTACATGTTTACTATGACGTTGTACATGTTCCCATTCATGTTATTTACTAAAAGTTTGTACCATAACCCGTCTCGCCAGACAGTGTCAAAAGCCTTTTCGAAGTCTACGAATGCACAGTACATCTTTTTCTTTTTTGATTGCAAGATATGAAAAAAAGATTGCAATACAAACAAATTATCTAATGTGGAATAATGTTTTCTGAACCCACACTGATTTTCACATAAAATTGAAAAATCATCAGATAACTCTGTAAGTCTATTACTGAGGACTGCGGTAAACAATTTTCCTAAGCAACTTAAAATGGTTATTGGCCTATAATTTTTGGGATCTTGTCTATTACCTTTGCTTTTATAGAATGGTTTAATATCACCAATTATCATCAAATCTTAAAACAGAAGAATATCTATCGGTAACTATATACCAATGATTAAGCAAAACTTTTTTTCCTTATTCAAAAATACAAAGCATGATAAATCGACCACAGGTGGAACTTTAATTTGTACAGCATTACTAAAATTGTTTTTGAAACTTTGTGGCTAGGTCGTGGTTAACTTTGTAAATAAACACCTCATGGATACCAGGATTAAAATTTTGTACGCCTTTTAGTCTACAAAACGTTAGTGACGATCTAATCAAAAAAGTTTAAAAGGCCAAGTAAAGTACTAAGTTGATTGATTGATTGTTGGTTGCTTAAGTTGAAGAGCATTGAGGACACAAAGGTTTTGCCAAATAAAGCTAAGGTATAAGTTTACATTTGTTCTGGAGTGTGCAATGTCTTTTCGTAGGTCTTCATCACACTAATGAACACGAAGAGAAAAAATCTTCTGGAACTTTTAAACTTGTGAATTTGATTCAAATGGAAAGAATACAATGCCGAAAGAAATTTACTACTACCACTGGAATAGAAAGTAACGCATACGATGTAAACTAACATTATCAACTGTAGCCTCGCATCCCGGTCCAACTCGGATCCCAGGATATATCACCTGATCTAAACGAACAATCTTAACATATACGAAATGTAACATACAGATAAAAATACACGCGGAAGTTCAATACTGGATGTTTTAATCTAAAAGATTTGACCGACATTATCTAATCAAATGTAATCAAGGAAGTTATAAAACAATGGCTTTTTGTTCTTTTGGACTCAGATAACATTAATTAAGGTAGGTATAGTGTACAGTTTTTATAGTGCGTTTTGCACGAATCTTCACATTTTATTCGAATCCACACCACGTTATTTCGTGTGAAATCGATTTATTCTTATTTCGCAGGTATATTAGTTTAATTCTGGATTGACTGACTTATTTTTAATGATATACACATTTTAGAAAATGATGAAAAAAACGTCGGTGACGCCATGGTCACATTACAAAATTATCTCTATGAGCTGATAGACACAAAACAGCCAATCAGAAGACGTGTTACATCCAAAATTAAATTATTTAATCATAAAATGAAATGTACTTCGAGTTTTTGATAAAGTGTATTCAAAACAGAAATTCTAATTCAATTATTTTGTATCAATGGTTCTGATTGGATGGCAATACGTGTAAAATTCTCTATCTCCATGTCTGTAACTAAGGAAGCCGGCATTTTGAATTCCGAAATGTATTGATATGTAATTTCTCCAATAATAAGCAAAAAACCTCACATTTTGCACCTAGAAATCTTCTTTTTATCAAATTTTATTACATTCTGAAGCGGACAAGAAGCCAGAAAACGCCCGGTGTTTTCCAACTTCCAAGCAAGGACCGAAGCTCATCAACTCGGCACTAAAATACTGACTAAAATTGAATGATTTGTTTATTTTGCATTAGAATAGAGATAACTGTATTGTATTTGAAGCTTTACGGACGTCCATCGGTAGTTTTACTGTTTTATAGGTCTGGATTGCTTCGTTTTTTCATATTGTCTTTGAAAAGCTCGGTTCAGTTTTGATTTGAAAAAACGGACGTTTAAACTTTGTACGTAATACGCGAATAAAATCTAGACGATAAAAATGGAAAAAATATCCGTAGTTTCAGCTAATTAAATTTGGAATTAAATTACAAGGAAAGATTGTAAAAAAAATTCTGCCTATTCGAAATAACCTAAAATATGTGATTCACACTTTAAAATAACCCGCTACGCGTGTTATTCAGTGTGCACCACATTTTTTGATGTTATTTCTTCATAGACAGAAAAAATATTACAGTCATTCCTTAAATAAGGGTCATAAGAACTAAAAGGTCAAGGTACAAAAATATGCGAACACTTTTTTCGTAAGGTTGATATCTATCGGCGAGCTCTGTAAATGCTTTAAAAATGAAACATCTGTTTGATCGATGACAAAATTAACAAAACATCTATCATGGATCAACATCAAATGTAGGTATTTAATCCATGAAAATTATAAAAAAAGAGAGAGAGAAAAGACACAAAGAGGGCACTCAAAAAACATTATTCCAATAAAAAAAAGCAACAACACCATGGCCCAAAAAAAAAAAAAAAAAGCAACAATACCATGGCAAAAAAAAATAAAAAAAAGCGACAACACCATGGCCAAAACAAACAAAAAAAAAGCGACAACACCATGGCAAAAAAAAACAAAAAAAACAACAACACCATGGCCAAAACAAACAAAAAAAGCAACATCACCATGGCAAAAACAAACAAAAAAAGCGACAACACGATGGCCAAAAAAAAAAAAAAAAAGCGAAACAAAATCAACAAAACATTACGCAAAAACCTGTGAAGATTTAGCAAAACGAACTCCACCAAAAGTGGGTGGTGAATACAAGTGCTGCGGTTCCTGTTCCACTAGTGACACCCATCGTGTTACTATTGTCGTATATCGGAGTGGTTGGTGCATACAAGTGCTGCGGTTCCTGTTCCACTAGTGACACCCATCGTGTTACTTTTGTCATATATCAGAGTGTGTGGTGAATTCAAGTGCTGCGGTTCCTGCACCACTAGTGACACCCATCGTGTTACTATTGTCGTATATCGGAGTGGTTGGTGAATACAAGTGCTGCGGTTCCTGCTCCACTAGTGACACCCATCGTGTTACTTTTATCATATATCAGATTCCTCTTCACAGTAGTAACACTTGTACATTTTACTTTTTCCATTCCTAGACAGATAAAAAAATAATTTACCATCTAGAAAATAGTAAAGGAAAAAAATATTGTTTTCTTTCAAAAAGATGACACATACACGCTTAATGACTGTGAATCAAAATAACCTACACAAAAGTACGACTCATATTTCTTTTAGATGTGTAAATACAGCAATTAAAATCGAGTAAAGCAATTGTTGTATATGTTCTTTTTTATTGTGTTTTGAAAAGTACTTTATTTGAACCATTGCATTTTTTTTTTCAAATTGAAATATTGTTTATTTACTCGATAAATCCTGGACGCTACCTGCAAAAAAAACCCGTACAAATAGAAATTTATTAGGTCACAACGTGTACTTTTTCATCCAATTACAAGTAATTTGAAAAGCGTCCGTAAATGAAAGGAAACATAGATGATTCTATGAATGAATTTTCTCTGAATCTTGCATTCGTGTATGTATAAAAGGGCTTTGTTTTATATTTAAGAATAAATGCAGTTAATGGATTAATTCAACTTTTATATGATTAAAAATTAAGAATGAATGATAATAACGTTCTATCACAAATACTAACGTACTACAAGTACCAGTAGTTATTTCAAGCTTCGATTGATTCCATGTCTTACTTAAAAATTGTGTTTTTTTTTTATTTTACACTTTGTATCATATCCACGAGAAAAAAGACGTTACCACACTCGAAAATAAAACACGAATCCAAACGAACACTTTACCTACTGTGTTGTGTCAATTGAGACACTAAATGTAAAGTGGAAATATTTTGAAAAATGTATTTTTAAACTACTGTGGTAAACTATCCTGTATTTTAGAAAAGAGGCGAATTACTGTTGAATTAGTGTCATTTGTAGAAACGAGGATACTGATGGAAATGAAAAATATGAAAAATGTAGCACCACAGTTTCATGAAAATTGGAGAAAGCGTTTTTGAGTTATTGTCCGAAGTGTTGACAAATGACACTTTTCATGTATGCATTGACACTTTAAATTTTCTTTTTGATGATTCTTCTGAAACAAAGAACATGAATTAATGCAAAAAAAAACATAAAGAGCTGCGCCATGAGCGCATGATACGCCCGTTGTCCTTTTAGCTCGTCTCTATGCTTTAAATGAATTTTCATTTGTATGATCAGCTAGAAATACATGAGATATGCTTAAATAACCCCCCCTTCCCCCCCCCCCCAAAAAAAAAATAGAAATAAAAAGAAGAGATGCACACTCAGTAGTACACATTGACACAAAACATGAATAATTTGGCAATATTACGTATTACGGCTACCTCAAGTTTAGCTAAGTTTGTGTCCTCGATTATTGAACGAATAGAATAACCGCCCAAGGTGTGAAAAATAGACAGTTTTTGACGATTTTTCAACGATTAAAGTTCCACAACTCCGCAATATCATATCGGAAATTTGTAAAAAAAAAAAAACAAAAGGGAGCTTATTTCAATAGATATAAACAAGTCACCAAAGTTTCATGAAAATTGCTCAAAGCGTTTTTGAGTTATTGTCCGAAAACTGGAAAATCCCCCCCCCCCCCCCCCCATTTTATGAATAAAGTCCCAATACTCCAAAACATAAAATCAGAAATTTTTAAATATGGAAAGGCAACTTTTGTCAATGTATGTCAACAATTCAACAATTCACCAAAGTTTCATGAAAATGAAAAAATGCTCAAAGCATTTGTGAGTTATAGTCAGAAAGCTGGAAAATCCTCCAGTTTTTTATGAATAAAATCCCATAACTCGGAAAAGTAAAATCGAAAATTCATACAAATCGAAAGGGAGCTTACGTCAATGGACATAAAAAAAAATCCCCAGTTATATGAAAATTGGTGAAAGCGTTTTTGATTTATTGTCCGAAGTGTTGACAGATAGACAGACAGACAGACAGACAGACAGACGGACAAGGGTATACAGGCGTATAAAATTAAGGGAAACTGTTCAAGTTTGCTTAGAGAAAGTTTCTTGAACTATAACTATCGAAAGAATAGAGATGGAAATATTGCATGATTTGACAATCTCTGCCGGAGTTATAAAACATATATTGACTATCCTCGCTAGAATACTCAAACGTTTTCCACAGTTACACAGCCGTAGGAGTCATTTGACATGTGTAGCAATCATGTTCGAAAATCTAATAATGCAGATTTTTAAAAATTATATAGGATGTTGGGTACACAAAAATCTTTTCTTAGACAATTTATCTACCTGACAATTTAGAAATTTTCTTGTTTTGAGAAAAGCTTGAACATTGATACAGATAAGAGATCTACAATGCTGCATAGAAATCAAATTCATGCAAGTTGTCAGCGCAAAAAAAAAAATGTTTTTGAGTATTTGAGTAATACGCAACTTCAATAGGATTTTATCATTGAGAAAAGAAAAAAAACAAAACAAAACAAGATCCAGCATTAATCGTGATCGAACACAATTAATAAATCTTTCAGTGTAAATCCATCGAAGAGAAATATTTTTTTTAAAGGAAATCTCTATCTCTGAAGTTTAATTTGAAAGCTTTGTTGCCAACATTTCAATAAAATTCTAAATGTAAAATACCATTTAAAAATAGATCCATGAAGATTAAATGACAGATACAAAAAAAAAGAATATTTGGACGTGCCTTTTAACTGATAGCAACATAACAAAAAATGAGATATCTAGAGCTCAAAGCAGTCATAAACAATAGAAAAATATCATTACCACATGTCCTACTCTAAATTACCAACCTTGGGAATGCGTTCAAAAAGTTCCAAAGACGTCCCAGATACACCAACTTCCTCATGCAATAACAATAACACAAACATATAAACGATTTCAACCTGGCTAGTTTTGAGGATAGATTTTGAGACGTCCCGTTTGGCTTGATTTAAAACAGAGTTACTGTTGGTATGCGTTAGTTCAAACCTTTATGGAACCATTGCATTGAAATTTAGGAAATAAAATCATCACGACTGGCGTATAGTGAATGGAAATGTATTTCTTCTCTTTGGGTTGTAATCAGAAGTTGTCTGCTCACATAAGATAAAATACTTGATCCAATAAACAATAAACAAAAATAAAATTATGCCTTTCCATACATAGGATGTCATCTTATTTCAAAGATCAATTTGTTTGGGAATGAAATAAAGAGCTTAATTTGCTGTCGTGCTCTTGACACGATACTGATCTGATTCAAAAGAAATTTGGGGAAGACCGACTGAATTCGACACTTCATAAGTTCTACGGTCACCATTACAAATACGTTGTCTGATGCGGTGCGTCTCTGTCTCAACTCAATAGCGACATGTTATCACGTTCTAAGATCTTAGCTACAAAAATAGTGGTCTGATCTGTTTTACCGATTGTGCCATTTTGACTGAGTGTTGATTCGCATTGCGGGTGATGTACACATAACATAAGACGCATACTCTGTCAACTCATCCAGTTTTGCTTCTTTTTGATTTCATGCAATTCCCTTAGTTTTTTTTTTTTTTTTTTTTTACCTTGAATTGTATATTCGTAATGGACTTACTAGATTAGAATATCGGTAATCAATTCTAAATGATGACCATAAAACTTAAGTAGTGTCGATTTCAGTCGTTTTTCCTAATAAATCTGTTGGAGCGATTTTTATGAAAGGAGTGCATCCCTATAATTGAAGTCTACGTGTGAAAAAATTCGAATTAACCATGTCTGTAAAAAATGACATTCAACTATTGAAATAAATATATAACATTTTGTCGGATTTCCTTAACGTCGATGTTAATGCTTACAACATTGCAGGGAAATGCAAGAATCGGGGCAAAAGCGGAATTTCTGATACTTTCTGAAATTACAATGTCAGTGTGAATGAGTAAAATGAAATTTTCTTTGGCAGTTTCAGAATAAAACCGAAAGATGCTTAGTGTGACTAAAAAAGACAGAACAGCCGGGTTTGGCAGACTTCTGAGAGAAAGAAAGTACAAACGCCAGAAAATAACAAATGGACGAGAGCCTGTAGGAAATCTGGTAAAAGAAATTGATGAACATGTAGATAGCGAAGAAAGTGATGAAAGTATAAAACCGTCACAAAATATGAGACGCAAGCGTAGAGCTGTTGTCACTAGTGATAGTGAAAGTGAAAACGATATAGTAAAAAAGAAACGAAACAAACATCAAAATACTGAATATTATGGTGATAAATATAATTTCACAAGAGTTAGTGATAATTCAGAAGATTCTTCTAGTGTGGATGTGAAAGCATCGGATAATGATGATGATGACGATAATAATAAAGATGACGATTACAATGCGGACGATGATAATTATGAAGACGATGATGATGAAGACTTCATCGACGACAACAAAAATGATGACGACTACGACCACGATGACGATGACGATTACAACCCCGATGATGATAATGATATTTATGACGACGATGATGATGATGACGAAGACGACGATGATGATGATAATGATGATGAATTTGACGTCGAGGCGATGGATGACGAGGAGGAAGATGAGAAAGACAAAGAGGAGACGGAAGAGGGAGATAAAACAAATACTTTACAAATAGATAATGTAAATAATGAAGTACCCAAAGGGGAGATGTCAATTTTTAGATTAGATGTGCATAAGGTATACGGGCTTGCTAATGTAAAGTCAGAAGAACAGTTACTGAAGATACTTGTCAAAGCAGTAACTGAAATGAAATGTGTCAAACACGAAGCATTAAAAAATAGAAAATGCGAACCTTTTTTACTTGCTTATTTCTACTACAAAACTGAGAGGGACATAAATTCAACAGCAGATTCAATAAACAGACATCGGAAGTTGGAAGATCGTCAAGCTTTTATACCTGGTTCCCGCAAAACAGGCAATATTCTAACTTACTACAGGTTCAAGACCTCCATTGAACATCAAAAAATTCCAGAAGTGTATTTCCTATGTAATGGCGAAGGATATCATGCCATTCTTCATTTATGTGACACTACATTTAGGTCTAAAATAGCAAAAGAATTTATAGATGGCAACAAAATTAAAGAAATCGAGACTATTAACATCGCTGGACCTGATGTTACTACAAAAATTACATATAAAAGTAATTTCAACATCGAATGTCATTCCGAATCATTTCTGGAAAAAGTTGTGAATTATCTGGCAGGCTATATAAAGACAGATTCACAACTTTTTACAGTCATTCAAGGTAAAAAAGGGCAAGATGTATTAATGAAAATAGGCTTAAATTTCGTCAGAGTGTGTAAACAAATGACATACGGTACTTATGCATGCATCTTCGATTTGTTTTCTTTGCATACGGAGAAATGTTCTGATGAAACCCATGCATACTTTTTGGAAGCTTTAGACTATGTGCAACGTGTAACCAATCGAACAGAAACTGGTAAATTAAACAAACGCTTCGATAAGGAAATTGTAAATATGATATTAGAAAAAAAATTGTCTGACCGATATTATTTAAGTCATCGATTTGCAAGAGACTGGGAAATAGCCTCTGAGGTTACTTTAAATGAACAATTTATTGATAAATCTGTTAAGAATAATCCTGACAAATGCCAATACATGCGTTCAATAAAGTCATGGAGCAGTGCTCCAACTCTTCAGATGGTAACTCAAGCTCTTTACCGACACTTTCCAGATATTAGTAAGTTAAAGACAGCTTTGCGTCTTAAAAGAATAAAGCTGAAATTCTCAAGTCAAAATTGGCAGAAACAGGAACATAGTTTGCAGGATTTTGTACATGGTTATATTGCTGATAAAAATGAAAAATGTTATAAAATTGCTCAAAAATGGTTTAACCTATCAGGCAAGTTTAGTCAAATAATAAACAAGAACTTTCAAAGGTTCTTAAAATTTCATCCGTTAATGGAATTTGAATTCAACAATCACTACAAAGGATCAGAAATTCTAGTATTTCCATGGTGTTTCTCCAATGAAATTGCCAAATTTGAACTAACTGATATAGCAACTGTATTGGCCATAAATGAAGAAAGTGCTGAAACAATAACAGACATTCTTTGTTGTTCTTTGACAGCTTATGACAAAAATTGTTTTCAACTAACTAAAGACAGTTGTCTGTTACCCTATTCATCACCTTTTCATAAAAAACTTACCAGAAAGTTAAAATATTTCTCAGAAAAAAGAAAAGATGCTGAATCTACTGCAACTAACACTTTTCTTTTTCAGCAGTATGAACAAAAACCTGAAAAAATTGAGAAAACTGCAATCGTTCAAAATATTCTTGCACAAGAAACTATATGTTGTGAACGTGTGGATGAACTGGAAGAATCTTTCAATGTCATTAATCCGGTCATCACAAAGAAAATGTTACGGAAGATTAAAACATTGGGTTTGAACTTAAAAGAAGGAAAAGTAGTGAATTTCTTACGAAGTAGATGTCCTTTGAGAGAGGATGAATACAATGAACTATACCTTTATGGCGAACAGTTTTCTAAACATGACTTAACGTATATACCTGGAGATAAAATACTGTGTAATGACATAGTTTTATTTGATGTTTTAGCTTTTGATGAAAAGAATTCACAGACTTTTCTGTTTCATGTTAAAAAAGATCTTGACCACCAAACTAGGGAAGCATGTTCACAGATACGAAATGCAGCTGAACTGTTATGGCATGATTTAATTAGGGACCAGGATAATTACGTGCAGTTATTCTGGGAAAATGCATCCACTCTACCAAAGGGTGGCAATCCATCTTTGATATTTTTAAAAGAAAAAATGGACAAAATCGGCAAAGATAAATACATCCGAATGTTTTCCAAAGATGTGAAAATTACTTTTGTGTTTGCATTCATGACAATTAGAGGAAAAACAAAGAAAGAGATGAATGTAAAAAAAGCGGTGACAAAAAAAGATTTTAAAGATAATGACTTCCCTGTTGGTGTTTTTCGGTATCTAAAGCAACATAATATATTGAAAGATAATGGTTGTATTTCTGAAAGTTTTATTAGAATGACATCGAAACAGTTTGAGCATTTTGCCATTAACATACCAAATGTTAACAAAGAAACAGCCGACCAGCTTTACAGTTTCTTGTTAGAACAAACTACATACAACTTATCAACTACTACGAAACTAGAGCTGCTAACACTTGATTGTAACTTTTCACGATATCAGATGGGAGGAACGAGACATTTTGATCTTAAGATAATGCAAATACCATCAAAATAGTAAAAAAAACAGACAGGGACTACATTTGACATTAATATATCAAAGTGTACTTACCTTTCTTTAATTTTTTCTCCTCACGTGAAATTCTTTTGGTATTTCTTTATGTTTGTTTCCATCGTCTTTTATCTTAAAAAAGCAAAAAAATCATATGAACTACTCCATTTTTATTTTTAGATTTTATTAGTAGACATGCTTTGCCTTCAAACTAGTTTAACCTCGCCACATTCTGTATGTGCCTGTCCCAAGTCAGGAGCCTGTAATTCAGTTGTTGCCGTTTGTTGCTGTTTATCATATTTGTTTTTCGTTCATTATTTTGTATATAAATCAGGCCGTTAGTTTTCTCGTTTGAATTGTTTTACATTTGTCATTTGGTATCTTGTGGAGAGTTGTTTCATTGGCAATCATACCACATCTAATATTTTGTTTTTATATATATTAAAAACAGGCAGATTTCTACTTCCATCAAAATTGTTGTCTCCCATCAAAAATTTTATTCCACTGCATATTAATATAGATAGCGAAATCAACATTTGATTGGATGAGACTATCCCACGTGACGTCGAACAAAACTTCATATTCTCCTCTGAACGTCGGGACCTCCATGTGCGTCGTTACGCGCGGTTAATGTTTAAATAACGTTTTGAACGTTTTTTTTAGAGATAGTTAAGTAATTTCGTTTTCAAAATTATTTCAGATCTAAAAAAAAACCAAAAAGAATAAATGATTAAATTTTGATCGGTACTTTTTATCATTGTTAATGTGTTTAGTTGCAAAAACAAAAACAAACGGAGAAGAAAAAGAAATATGTAATCTAATATCTTATGTTCAGGAAGTAAAACAAAATATATATAATGGAATAAAACATTAATTTCCCTTGGCTTAGGGAGATATGAAGATTTTTTCACCCTCGAAAAGTCATATTTCCCTGGGGCGATGCCCTCGTGAAATATTAATTTTCTTGGGTGAACAAATCTTCATATCTCCCTCAGGCACGGGAAATAAATGTTTAGTGTCCAATGTCACATACGGGTTCTTGAATCGGCATCATACTGGAACAACAAATTTTGTCGCTTGTGCTTAGGCCAGTCAACAAATGTCAAATATTTTGCAATATCTCTGAAGGAAAAAGAAGAACAATCTTACAATATATCGGCATTATCTTCTTATTTGAAATGTGCACTCAGTTTTGCTTGATTGATTTATTTCAGGTCATATTGAGAAAAAAAATCCTGGTTATTCCACTGTTTACTATCAACCTGCCTATGGTAAGAAAAGTTTTTTGTCACCCTAAAATTGATAGATATGCAGTTTCTAAAAATGTTGACATTGTCGCATGGGGGAAAAGTACAACAAAATACCGAACTCCAAAGCAAATTCAAAAGGGGAAGTCCATAAAACTGACAAAATCAAACGCTATGTAACACACAAACAGCATGTAAATCCTGCGTAACACGGCGACAGTGATTGTTTTATTCATTTGCTCCAAACTGATAAAAAAATGTTTTACAGTAAATTTTAATCACTGAAGTTATTAAACTTCGACTATATATATTTTTTTACTGTATTTTTGTTAAAGCATACAATTCACAATTTACTCAGATTAAACGGTTCAAACAAAATCTTATCAAAACTTATTTCGAATTGAATAAATTCATTTTAAATGCAGTTCATAAATTAGACTACTTTATAACGATCAATTTAGATTTATCAAAAAACTATTTATTTATACATCTTACAAGTGTGGACACAGATCAGTGTGGATAGTATGATTGGATGTTTGACAGTGTTTTATATGACAAAAGGAGTTCTATGTTTTATGTTTTCTATGTATTAACTGTGTTGCACAATGACAACCAACATGAGCATTAGGGGTGTTGTTTATGTAATATTTAGTTTTTTATGTTCAACACGGGCATGGAAGAGATACTAATTGCATTAATTACCAAATGATTATGATAGAATATATATGTTCCACATCTTTGATTTTGGATACATTTTGTAGCTAGGAGAGGAACACATAATAGGTTCATTTTTTTCTTAATGTGATTTTTTTATATGGGAGATGGTATCTGAGAACACGTATTTGCTTACTATTTGTATGGTTCTATTTATATTACTTTGTGGGGGATTGTCAGTATCATAAGTAAAAGATTTCGGTTAAATGTGGAAATTGTTTCTCAGTTTAGAAGACATTTAATGTTTTTTAGTAATGACAATGCCTGACATGATGATTCGGGCTAGATGAGCTAGAAAGTGAATTTCTGTGTTATTTTTTATTAATTCTTTAAAAATATCTCCTCCAAAGCTGGTCAAAGCAAAAAAAAGTTTTGACCAGTATGAAAATGATATCAACAAAAGAACCTTTGTGAGCATGCTTCAAAGACTCATAACTAACTACAGAAGTCATATGATAAAATGTCAAGTGGATATTATGAACATCTACTTAATATGTCTAAATATCTAAAAAGTTTTAGTATTCAATATGAAAAAGCTATTGCAAAAGTATTCTCTTTTCAGTTTTTTTTTGTTATATGGATACAAATATAAGTGATACCAATACAGTAAGGCAGTTTTGTTATGGTATGAAAGTGCAGTAATTAACATTTACTGTTAATTCACACAAATTAAGGAATAAACAAATGAATGATAAATGTTGAACATGTACAATGAAATATATTTTAGAAATCAATTAGGCCAGATAGGCCTTATAAGTTTTGGTCTTTTTCTTAACATACTGAATGACCATTTACACTCAGGACTGAGTCGCCAGTAGGCAGTACAGATGTAAATAAAAAATAAAGTGTAACAAAAGAACCTAGCATCATATTGCTAGTAGCGCCAGTAGCATTGTTTGGTGAATTTGTGCTTTTTTTTTTTAGTTTGGCTAATGGACAAAAAATGTTTGGTTCAAATCTAAATAAAATGCTTTTATCTCCCTATTACTTACATTGTACATAGAATGGATACTACTTTGACAATTCCTTGTACATGAGAGTTGTCTGTCAAATCTTTATTTCACAAAGAATTAATTGCATAACAATGAACTGAGCTCAAAGCAAAGCACTTTAATAATACACTTAGACAATGAGCTCAATCCAGTGATATACTTTGTACTACAGGTCCTTCATGAACATCCTACTGGCCAAAACCATATCTCAAAAACATGCCATACTACATGGTTGGATCAGAAGTCCTGAAAAAGACATGAACTTTATTAACATATTTTATGTATATACACCGGTTAAAACTTTAACAAATTTGTGGTAAAATCATTCAGTATCTAGCAACTATCAATCGCTTCATGCACAAATTGATGTAGGTTGAGTACCACTCTGTCAGAAATAAGAACATACCTCCACCTAATTTTAGTTAACTGATGAAGAAACATTCAAAACTATAAAATGTTATCTAATAGACTAGCTGCAATGAAATCCCAGTTTTCTAAAATGGTAGGTGGAACCTAAGACTCAAAAGATTTTAAACTATGCATTTTAAATATTGCAAATATACATGCAATAATATAATTCTCAAAAATTCGCTATATTTTTCCTTATTTTGTCTTTTGTTCGAGACTGTATATTGACCTCTAGATGTCTTTCAATTACATCCAGTTTGGCGTGGGTTGATGTTTGATTGTTGTACATGTTATATATCGACGTGGGATTTGTTTATATAAAGTAGGCGTGAAATAATTTTGGTTAACGGAAATCCTTTAACTTACTTCCAAATTAATGCTAATACTGAGGGAAAAAATTACATTGCTAAATAACCACTTTAAAACACATGCAAACTTTTTGAGAGAAAGTCATAATGCATGTAACATCTATTAGATCTTTTTTTAAACCATTCTAAACTACTGATAAGTGATAAAGTTTGTTAACTGTTACTTACCTTCAAAAAGGGGGTTGCATTCACTTTAATACATATACATATAAATATAATCAACAATACTGAGTGGAACACCTAGGATAAATAGAGGATTGTTTTGTAAGAATAGTTGCTGAAATAAGCAGGCAATATTCAAAGTAGAATAAAAAATATTACAGGACTGTGTTTTAAAGTAATAAGCATTGTGCAGGGCTCACGTTACCATGCTACTGGGGCATCAAATTCGCTTTCCCGGTCGCCACTTCGCTTTGACCGACCTTCAAAAGTGAAATCTAGCCGCCCTGTTGTTTACGATACTCAAATTCAGTCGCTTTTGTCATCGGCAATATTCAACATTTACCAAGTCGATGAAACAGCAATTTTTCATTTGAAAGTAAAGAAATTCAAAGACATAAACGATTTATTTTCTTTAGGTTAAAGCATTGATTTTAAAGTTGGTTCCATGTTATTTTCATAAAGACAATTTTTTTATCACTTCTGGTACTTGATACTCAAGCTTAGATCAAATCATTCTTTCGGCATAATAAGCTTGTTACTTCATTAGAACGTGATGAAATTAAAGATTTCTTGCTGTTGTGCAATACACTGTGCTGTTGCGCAATACTTAGTAAATCTGTCGTCAGACTATAAACAAATAAAGTTCAATTAATTCCCAGTCATATTAGAAATTTATAAAAATGTAAAGGGAGCTTGCATCAATAGATATAAACAATTCACTTAAGTTTCATGAGAATTGCTGACAGCATTTTTGAGCTATTGTCCGAAAACTGGAAAATCACCCCTTTTTTAATGAATAAAACCCCATCACTCAGAAATGTAAAATGTAAAATTTATAAAATTCTAAACGGAGCTTACATCAATATAGATATAAACAATTCACCAAAGTTTCATACAAACTGCTGAAAGCATTTTGAATTTTTGTCCGAAACTGGAAAATCCCCCTTTTTTCATGAATAAAACCCTGTAACTCAGAAATGTAAAATCTAAAATATATAAAAATCAAAAGGGGACTCATGTCAATAGATATAAACAATTCACCACAATTTCTTGCAAGTTGGTGAAAGCTTTTATTGTCCGAAAACTGGAAAATCCCCCTTTTTTTAATGAATAAAACCCCATAACTCAGAAACGTAAAATCTAAAATTTATAAAAAAACGAAAGGGAGCTCATTTCAATAGATATAAACAATTCACCAAAGTTTTATGCAAATTGGTTAAAGCGGATTTGAGTTAATGTCCGACATGTTGACGACGGACAGACAGACGGAAAACGGTATACCATAGTACGTCCTGTAAACGGGCATATAAAAATGACAGGGTGTCATACCACACCAAAACCTTCTGAAAGAAACACCAAGATGGCAAACAAATTTTTTTTTCATTGACAACCCTGTATAACCTTGCAGCAGCATCGAGTCTACATGCATTACCTTGTATATTTCATGTACATTGAACTTAAAAATTTGTGGTCATTGTCAAAGTTAGTTATGTCAGTTATAATTTACACATTTACTAAAACATGCCAGAGAAGTGCATGTACAAACTTTTGAATTTGATCTGCAAACTGGGAAAGCTATCCTTTTTTATGAATAAAATTCCACAATTTATTAAATTGAAAGGGAGCTTGCATCAATCGATATATATAAACAATTAACCAAAGTTTCATGACAAATGACAACTGCTTAAAGCATTTTCAAGTTAATGTCCGAAAACATGGAAATCCCCTTTTTTGAATGAATAAAACCCCTTACATTGTAACTGGATAATATAAATTCTAAAAATTCCAAAACAATCTAAAGGGAGCTCACATCAATACATGAATACAATCCCATATAACTCTGAAACGGGAAACCTAAAATTTATAAAATAATCAATTCACAACAGTTTCATGCAAATTGGTGAAAGCGTTGAAGAGTTAGTGAACAAAGCATTTTTAGAGTTAATGGGCCAACACCCTCTGAAGGAACACTATAATGGAGCTTCCTTTCCATTTTTATGGGGGGAAAAGGGTGGGGGGGTTGGGGGGGGGGGGGGGGGGGGGGGGCTAGGATGAAAAATTTTGTCCTGCATTTTTTTTTTCAGTTCGAGATGTAATCTGTCCTGCCTTTTTTTCTATTAGTTTATCCCGACTTGTTTTTACATAAATTGTCATCCTGCCTTTTTTTTTCATATTGTCTCATCCTGCCTTTTTTTCAAATTTCATCCTAGACCCCCACCCCCTAAAAATCAAATGGTAGCTCCCTAAGTTAGCAAACAAATTATTTTATTTTTACATTGACAAACCTGTATAACCTTGAAGCAGTATTAAGTTCATGTATTATCCCGCATATTATTACATGTACATTGAACTAAAACAAATTGTGGTCATTGTCAAAATTATAATTTACAGATTACTTTTCCATTGCTTTCAATTTAAGATTAGGGCATTTTTGTCATTGGAATTGAGTTTTGTAGTCGGAGATTACTCTAACCTCCAAGGGCTGTTTTGCGACACCAGCTAGGGCAGTGGGAATTCAGCTGGTCCCATATCAGATAGATGATATTTGCCCGTCCAAAGTGGATGTGCTGCTTCGTTGCTTCTGGAGGCGACTGGATCCATATAAATCAAGCCTCAATTTATTCATTTTTTTCTCTTCATTTAAGTAAGTTTGATCAACCTGCCACCCGTTATCTTCTCATATTTGGACAGTTTCCACATTGACCCATCAATACTGGCATTTTAGAGAGTACATGAATGCCCTTTACCGTCAGGCGTCAAACAGTCAATACGGCTACCGTTAGCGTCAAATATGTTAACATTTTACCGTGATTCGTCAACATATCCTTATCGTGATTCGTCAGAGGTCTCAAATAATTATCGTTACCGTTATTTTTGGGAAAAAATTAACGTGATTCATCAAAATCTGTCGATTTTTTTATCGTCATGCACCAAAAATTACCGTTAACGTCATTTGGCAAATTTCATTACCGTTATTCGTCATGAAGGTACCCCCATTACCACCCTCATTTTAACTTTATAAGAATGTCACATGACCAACATTATGGGAACTCATTTATGCAAATGACCCTTATCGAGCCTCAATTAGTTCATTTTTCTCTTCATTTAAGTAAGTTTAATCTGCCTGCCACCCGCTATTTTCTCCTATTTGGACAGTTGACACATCAATTCTGGCATTTTTACTTTTAACTTTTAAAGATTGTGACATGACCAACAGAAAAAGTATTTTACAATGCATTATGAGAGCTGATTTATGAAAATGACCCTTATTCAATAGGAAAACATAATCTAACACCTCATTCATTTATGATGCAAATAAGCTGAATGGCCGAATGTGTTTAATTTGAAAATAAAGAGTTAAAATGCCGGAATCGCAAAAACAGATGTTGGACATCAGAGCAATCTCGGACTATGAGTATGAGTTTTGGGCAATTTGTAGGGGGGAGGGTTCAAGGGAAGCAAATGCTCTTTAAATTATGCATGTTTCAAAAATTGGGGAAAATTACACAGAGAATTGAGTCATTTTTATATTCATTAAATAATGACTAATGTAGAATTACCTTCTAATTCTATAAAAAAAATTCACAACTACTGAACAGGAACAATCATGGTACTATTTTGTCTATGAAACTACACTATGACATCTGATCTGCAAAACCTACAAACAGACACAGAAATATCATCAAATAGTGAAATATACGATTGATTGCACCTTGTATGGATAGTTCCGACACGTGTTACATGGGGAGCCCGTTTGTTTACAAATAATAATGTCACGTGATCACGCACTGACCGTCACAAATTTTTATCCTCCGCCATTATTCATTACACAATATTACTGTACTTACACAATTCACAAATGCATAACTCATTCATCTTGCGGACATGCAATGGGAATGTGCACGGTTATCAAAAACTACAAAAAAAATTGCATGTACAGTTAATGAAGAAGTTATTTCATCAAATAGATAAGATTTTCGCTCATGACACAAATCGACTGGGTGTCATCGCCGTCGGGGATAATTGATAAATGGGATTAAATTGACCGCCAAGAAGGTGTAGAGAACCACCTCTGGAGAACCTTAACATTAATAAGTAATACTCACCAAAGTTTCTCTATAATTAACGCTATTTTCTGTTGGAAAATTTCAGAAAGATGCTGATAAACTTATTTTGTGACACAGATTATTTTCTTGTTTTGGCGCGAAATATATTCTTACTCTTAATGCTTGACGTAACAAAATTTGGATAGAATTATATTTAACTAAAGCCCAGCGTAAATATGCAGAAGCATGACAATACATTAATGATAAAATGTGTAAATATTTCTGTAAAAGAATATAATTTTACTTTACCAGTATACTTCACTTAGAATTACATTTGAGCGCAAGAAAATCTCTATGTGAATCGGCTGAAGGTTACCTCGGCTGAATCCCGGGGTCGAAGTTCAACATATCAACGGAAATTTTTGCGTGTGCTTGCGTTGCTTTAGATCGAGGCCACAGTTATTCAACCAATCGGGGAATGTTTACTTGGGACATACATCTATTTTTACTGCAGGTTTCGACATGTTTAAATCGGGATTATAGAAAAATGGAATGTTGTTGGTAGATACAAAACAGAAAATGATGAACACTTTTGGCAAAAGATAAATTGGATCGGGGGTCTGTGAATTCACATTATTTGTACAACTCTCCTTACTCTTGGGAAGCGTGTGCTTTGCACCGAGGCTTGCGTTGCTTTACATCGAGGCTTGCATTGCTTTACATCGACGCCATAGTAGTTCAACCAATCGGGGAATGTTTATTTGGGGCATACATCTATTTTTACTGCAGGTTTTGGCATATTTTAATCGAAATTAGAGAAAAATGGAATGATGTTAGGAGATATAAAACAGAAAATGATAAATATTTTTAGCAAAAGATGAATTGGATCGGGGTTCTGTGTATTCACATTATTTGTACAACTCTCCGTACTGATGGCAAAAAATGGAATTTCCGTGACCTAAATGGTTCGCGAAAATTAATATTTTTATATATATATAGTAACTATATAAATCCTTGGAATAATAATAACATGGAAGTATTACATAGTCAATATAATACTTCCATGATCATAACAAATATCAATAACCTTGATAGCCCTCACAAATGTAAATATTTTAAAGGTCCGTTATGCAATATTTGTTAGGTCATTTCATTTACAGATGAGTTGATTGATGGATTTTTAAGAAATAAAACTAATTACCAGATGATATCAAACAAAACAAGCGTTTACCTGTTGGGTCACGTAGTGGTCATATAGTCTCTAACAACAAAACATGGGGAGAAAAGTAGGCAATTAGGGTAGAAATAGGATAGAGAGGAAAATCTACAGGTAAAGTAAATACCATATTGAAGATTCATTATTAATTGTGGGATACCCATTTTCGTTGATATTTGGGTAAAGTTGATCGACGATTTTTTTTAGTCTAAATTATATCCAGTAGACTGACTGGCCTGAAATAATTTCTAACGAAATCATTATATAAAGTCTGTGTCGACCAATGTCCAGCACTTCGGTTTGTAAAAGGTTAGTAAAATTATTTTATTTTAATTTTTCGAACATAAACTTTGTTACTTTGCAATGATATCTTATGGTTACTTCAAAAAGTAGAATGATCATTTAGAGCATGTGAATATTTAAAATTTGTACTTGACATTTCTGAAATATACTTTATCTATCATGAATACTTCATATTTCAATAAAGCCATATTTTAAAGATATCAAATTGATATATTTCTGTTTTGATGCATAATATTCAGCTACTTGACAAAATTTGTCTTCAGGCTTTCATCATCTGATCTTAAAAGTACACGTATTGTTATTTTAAATCAGAGACTTATAATACTTGTCTCTGTTTTTATTATTTAAGGTATTATTACTTGATTTATTTTAAATGGCTGGGCGGGTCTTAACCGGAGCGCTAATCATAGATCAGTCCATCTATAAACAGGTGTTTTGGTATAAACTCTTCAGTGAAGTTATGGTAATTGATCTAGTTAAAATGTGTCAACACTATGCGCAAAGTAAATAGTGAAACACAAACGTTGATTTTCTTGTATAACAGAGCCTACAAAAATGTAAAAAAATTGTCACATTTTGGAAATATGAAAGTATAACGCTAGTTGCAAAATAAGCATATGCATATGTCGTTATTCTAAAACAAAAACAAAAACAAAAAAAAAAGATATATATTTAATATAGAATAATTTGTTAAGTTAAAGATATTTTTGAATAATTGTCTCAGTATGGGAAAGATTCTGAGGTAATTTTCATACATGTAAATTGTTTAACTTTAATTTCATAAAGTCCTAAACAATTAATTAAATAACATAATAGTAAAATAAAAGAATCAAAAGTGAATATTCTGATACTTTTTGAAATTTTAAATTCAGTGTAACTCTATTTCTGCATGAGTCAACTGACATAGTTTAACACTCTCTTTGACAGTTTTCCATCAACTAATGATGTTTGGTGTTACTAAAGAAGATAGAGCAGTCGGGATGAGCAACCTTCAGAGAGAAAGAAAGTACAAACTACAGAGAATAACTAATAGACAAGAACCTGGAGTAAATATAGAAAGAGAAATTGATGAACGTTTTGGGAATCAAGATATAGATGTTAGAACATCTTCTTCCTTGTCAAATGATGATGAGGAGGAGTTGGAGGATGATGAGGCTGAGGAGAAGGAAACAACTTTACGAACTGATGATGAAAATTTAGAAGCAAGAGAAATGGATGAATGTATTGATGGCGAAGACAGGGATGTCGAAATAAAATCTACACAAAAAATGAGACGTAAGCGTACTAGGGTTGTCGACAGTAGTGATAGTGAAAGTGAAAATAATATTTCAAATAACAAAAGAAACAAAGATCGAAATATTGAATATTCTTGTGGTAAATATAATACAAGAGATAGTGAAAAATCAGAAGATTCTTCGTTTGGCAATCATGAAATGGATGTGAAAACATCTTTCTCTTTGTCATCATCATCATCATCATCATCATCAGAAGAAGAAGAAGAAGAAGAAGAAGAAGAAGAAGAAGAAGAAGAAGAAGAAGAAGAAGAAGAAGAAGAAGAAGAAGAAGAAGAAGAAGAAGAAAAGGGAGAAGAAGAAGAAGAAAACGGAGAATCTAATTTACAAACTGATGATGAAAATTCTGACGATGAAAAGGAAAATGAAAAAGAACTCAAAGGGGAGATGTCAATTTTTAGATTAAATGTACATAAGGTCAACGGGCTTGCTAATGTAAAGTCAAAAGAACAGTTACTGAAGAAACTTGTCAAAGCAGTAACTGAAAGGAAATGTGTCACCCATGAAGCAATAGAAAAAAATAAGTGTAAACCTTTTTTAATTACTTATTTCTACTACAAAACTGAGAGGGATAAAAATTATACAGCAGATTCAATCAATAGAGATCGCAAATTGAAAGACCGTCGAGCGTTTATGCCTGGTTCCCGGAAACCTGGAAATATTCTAACTTATTATAGGTTTAAGACTTGCCTGGAAAATAAAACATTTCCAGAAGTGTATTTTCTGTGTAATGGCGATGGATATCATGCCATTCTTCATTTATGTGACACTACATTTAGGGCCAAAATAGCGAAGAAATTTATAGATGGCAACAAAATTAAAGAAATCGAGACTATTAACATCGCTGGACCTGATGTTACTACACAAGTTACATATAAAAGCAATTTCAACATCGAATGTCATTCCGAATCATTTCTGGAAAAAGTTGTGAATTCTCTGGCAGGCTATATAAAGACAGAAACAGATCTTCATAAACTAACCCAGTCAAAAGATGGACAAGACGTATTAATGAAAATAGGCTTGAATTTTGTCAGAGTGTGTAAACAAATGACATACGGTACTTATGCAAACATCCTTGATATATTTTCTAGGCAAATAGAGTTAGATTCAAATGAGAACCATGCATATTTTTTGGAAGCTTTAGACTATGTACAACGTGTATCCAATCAAACAGAAGCCGGGAAATTAAACAAACGCTTCGATAAGGAAATTGTAAATATGATAGCAGAAGAAACGTTGTCTGACCGATATTATTTAAGTCATCGATTTGCAAGAGATTGGGAAATAGCCTCTAAGGTTACTTTAAATGAACAATTTTATGATAGTTCTGTTAAGGATGATCCCGAGGATTGTGAAGGAATGTTTGAAATAGAGTCATGGAACAGTGCGCCGACTCTTCAGATGGTAACGCAAGCTCTTTACCGACACTTTCCATATATCAGTAAATTTACAGAAGCTTTGCGTCTAAAAAGAATAAAGCTGAAATTCTTTAGTCAAAATTGGCGGAAACAGGAACATAATTTGCAGGATTTTGTACATGGTTATATTGCTGATAAAAATGAAAAATACTATAAAATTGCTCAAAAATGGTTTTTCCTATCAGGGAAGTATAGTCAAATTATAGACAAGAATTTTCAAAGATTCTTAAAATTTCATCCCCTAATGGAATTTAATATCAACAATCAGTACAAAGGATCAGAAATTCTGGTATTTCCATGGTGTTTGTCTAATGAAATAGCCCACTTTGAACTAACTGATATGGCAACTTTATTGGCCATAGATAAAGAAAGTGCCAAAAAAATTGCCGACATTCTTTGTTGTTCTTTGACAGCTGTTGACAGTAATTGTTTTCAACTGACTCAAGGCAGTTGTCTCTTGCCCTATTCATCACCTTTTCATGAAAAACTTAGCAGAGAGATGAAAAATCTCCTAGGAAAAAGAAAAAGAAAAACTATGTCTACACCGGAAGATGCTGAATCTACTGCAATTTCCAGTATTCTTTTTCAGCTGTATAACCAAGAAGAGATACCTGGAAATTTAAAAAATATTCTAACAGAAAAAATCATATGTTGTGAACGTGTGAATGGACTGGAAGAATCTTTCAATATCATAAATCCAGTCATCACAAAGGAAATGTTACTGATGATTAAAAATTTGGACTCGAACTTGAGAGTAGGAAAGTTACTGAACTTCTTACGAAGTAGATGTCATTTGAGAGAGGAGGAATACAATGAACTATACCTTTATTGCGAACAGTTTTCTAAACTTGGATTGACGTATATACCTGGAGATAGAATACTATGTAATGATATAAAACTATTTGATGTTTTAGCTTTTGATGAAATCAATTCACAGACTTTTCTGTTTCATGTTAAAAAAGATCTTGAACACCAAACTAGGGAGGCATGTACACAGATACGAAATGCAGCTGAATTGTTATGGCATGATTTTATTAGGAACCAGGATAATTACGTGCAGTTATTCTGGGAAAAGGCTTCCAATTCATCAACTAGCGGCAACCCATCTTTGATATTTTTAAAAGAAAAAATGAACAAAATTGGCAAAGATAAATATATGCGAATGTTTTCCGAAGATGTAAAAATTATTTTTGTGTTTGCGTTCATGACACTTAGTGGACAAAATAAGAAAGAGATGACTGTCAGAAAGGCAATGACAGAAAAAGATTTCATCGATAATGACTTTCCAGTCGGTGTTTTCCAATATTTAAAAGAAAAAACTATATTGGAAGATAATGGTTGTATATCTGAAAGTTTTATTAGAATGACATCGCAACAATTTGAACATTTTGACATGAACATACTAAATGTTGATAAAGAAACAGCTCAAAAGCTTTACAGTTTCTTGTTAGAACAAACAACATACAACTTATCAACTACTACAAAACTAGAGCTGCTAACACTTGATTGTAATTTTTCACGATATCAGATGGGAGGAACGAGACATTTTGATCTTAAGATAATGCAAATACCATCAAAATAGAAAAGAAACAGTCAGGGACTGCATGTGACATTAATATATCAAAGTGTACTTACCTTTCCTTACAATATCCTCTCGTGTGAAATGTGTAAGGCATTTGTTGTTAACTGACAAAATTAAACGCTATGTTAAACTCGAACAGGATGTAAATCCTGCGTAACACATCGTCAGTGATTGTTTTATTTATTTGCTCCAAACTGATAAAAAAAAAAATCTTTTACAGTAGATTTTAATTACTCAAGATAATAATAAAAAATCGACTATATCAACACAATTGCAATTTTTAGTTCCACACACATTAAAAATTGCCTATCAATTGTTTTTGTTTCCATTAAACCAAATGTTATAACAAATGAAGCTGATGTGATACGAATTCAATACACCCTGGAACATGACAACGATAACATACATTTGCTCTATTATGTTTTGAAATATACTTTTAGTTACTAGTAACATATTCCAAAAAATAGTGTGTGCAGTCTTCATGCGAAAATTTGATAATAAAATATTACGTATGTGATTTGCGAGGTTGGATGTTAATCAAAATGAACGTAAAAGCAAAACAAAATTGTCACCCTTAATAGGCCGGTGACCAAAGTCGGAATTATAAAAATTTAATCGTCAAAAATAGTACACGGCTATATCATATAACATTCAATTCGAAAATATGTTTACTTTGAGATTAATTTGGTCGTCAAAAGAAAATATGGTGCAGATTTTCAGAAATCAAGATCAAAGGTCACATGTCGTTTTCAAGGAAAAACAAAATTGAATATCTAATTTCAATTTAAATACTCTTTTAGCAGTAGAATGATTGAAATCTTGAATCTATCTTCTTCCTTATTCAATTTTTCATCAAAAAAGAGGAAACTCATCATTAAATGAGAATTCCGAGTAAACGTATGCGACTTTACAAAAAGGGGGGTGATTTTCAGTTTAAAAAGATGTATCTTTTTCAAATAGTAAGAACAAAGGCCGCCAAAACTATACAAAATGTAAAGAAAAATATGAAAAATATGTATTTGTTAATATAACTATCTATTATACCCCAATGAAAGTGGAAACTTGAGTTTTTGGCTTATACGTTGAATTCGGTACATGCAAAACTGGCCACAAAAATTATTTCAAAACAGACTTATAATTGAGTTTAAATAATGTCATGAGGTTTTGTATGAAATAAAATGTATCAATAGGAATGTAAATTATTATAAAATAGACTAACAACTTTAAAGAGACATTTTTAATGCTAGAACCGCCTTTTATTCGTTTAAATGTTGAGAAAGTTTCGGTTCTTCAATCCCAAACTAAGTGACACCAGATAAGAAATGTACTTCTATGCCGGATGGTTTAACATTGCCATAAACATAGTAACTGTAATAAGTAATTCAGACCTCAAATGACTTTTGTATTATGGGAACGTTATTACAAGGTTCTGACTTTTGGCTGGAATACATATGTTCGTACATGGAAGGTTTAGCAAATCTCGAGTATCAATATTGGTCCAAAGTGGTTAAAGAACACGACAAATTTCTTAAACCACAAATCCTATAAAAATATTGCGAACATAATGTTAAGCTTCGGACATTTAACCTGTTGTGCATTGTAATAGAGTGGTGGTCAAATGTTTTTGTACCACATGTAGCGTGCTTTTATCCAGCATCATTGGACATTTCAAAAACATTTCGTATTTGCAAAATACACTTTGGCCATATCAATCTGAAATTGGGGACATAAAACAACAGTAACAGTAACTAGGACAAATGTCAAATGAATCTTGTCCAGAAAAGAATGGTTTGTCCTGCTGCTTGCAACTCTAGATATCTCTCAACAAAAGTCAAGAAAAAAAACATCTCTGATCGACAGTATACACTTGCTATAATCACATGATTATAGTCTGTGGAATGTTTCCGATTGTCGTGATCGTTCTGCCCTACGGTCTGGTCTGTATAATTGATTTAATCTCGAACTAGAGTTAGCATTGATATCGCACTGCTGGTGGTAAAAAACTTGTTTCTGTAAACTTGTCTTTGTAATAAATGAATAAAGTTTTAATCCCCGTAAAAGTTTATAGTGGTTGTATGAAAAGTTTGCCTTACAAAGCCTTTACTTAAATATATTGTTTTATAGTGTTTTATCCCTTGCCTTTGTTATAGCTTTTTTTATTACAATATATACAAGCATATGAAAAAACATAAATCCATTTCAAAGAGAGACGAAAGATACCAGAGTGACATTTGAACTCATAAGTCAAAAATAAACATGACCAATCAAAGAAACACACCCACAGACAAACCATAGTACACAAAACACAACCTTTGATATCCGTGACTTCGATTCTTTGACTTAAACCAGCTGCTATTTTATCTGTATGTCTCTAAGAAACATTAGAGGCAACAGCAATTTACCGATGTTCATTTTTGCAAACAAAAAATTCCAAGAACTTCAAAAAAGGTTCAGATCGATTGCGTCACCAGCATGCGTCACGTGCCATGCGAATCAAAACTATTAACATGTTAAACACAGGAATGGGACACAAGTCAAACGTCAAATTTTCAGATCTGATCTGATACTTAGTATCTAAAGATCTCCAACCGCGGAAAGATGCTGTTAGTGAGTTGAGACACGGCAGGGCTTGAAGGGAACATTCGTGATGGTGACCTAAAAACTTACTTTGTGTCTATTTCAGTCGCCGGTTCTTCCTCAAAAGTCAGTGCGTATCACCAAAGCTGCATTTTCACGTTCGACACTCAGGTGTCAAATGTGGAGCAGAATCTGCTTCACCTTCCGGGGGCACCCGAGATAACCCCGGTTTTCAGTAAGGTTCGTGATGATCTTTAGTTTTCTATGTAGTGTTTTGCAGAATTTTGTTTGTCAATACGACGTTCTTCGACTTTTGCCATGACGTTGTGATTTTGTCGTCAACTAATATTAATAAGTATAGATTATCGGGTTTTCTACACATTGCTATCGTTAGATATCAGCCGCTAGCCACAATGTGAAAATTTTTAGGCGAGTGAGCGCAGCGAAGGAGCTAAAAAGTTTCACATTGTGTCGAGCGGCTGATTTTTTACGATATCTATATACTAAGAAAACCCGATTATCTGTTTATCGTTCTATTACTGGTCTTTTTCTCCTCCCTAAATAACTTCTCCTCAGACATTGTGACGTCGCTGATAATGCCTGCTCTCGTCTCAAAGCCGTGATACGAGAATAACGGGCGACTGAGCAGGGTGATAGGCGAAGGGAAGGACGATATGTTTGAGTATCCCTTTGAAATCTTTTTAAGCAGTTAAATGTTAGGAGTACACCCCTGTTCATTAAGTCACTTACTCAACATGCACGTGCGTAAGACATCAATTGAGATATGTAAACACCATACGATGGCGCAAAGGATATAGTACTATTGAGACATGGGGAAATTGACAATTGGAAAGTTAAAATTGTCATAAAAAATGTGTCATAGGTTTTGTTTCAAGTCGTCAATCTGTGTCAATATCAAAGAAAAGGTCAAGATATGAAGCAGACATTCTAGTTTCTGTAGTATCCTTTATCACTAGCTCACTGGGGTACCGGTCACTGGGGTATATGAATTTAAGTACTGACTGACATGTGTATTATAGAGAGACAGGAAATCTTCAATATATCTGAATTTGAAATCAAAGAACTAAGCAAAATGGTTTTCTTTAGGTCTTTGAAAAGGTTCTGCATTTCCAATTGCAGTATGGACTGTAAACACTGTTATGTTATGTTGACTTGTGCATCATTAGTGTCCACTTTTATAATAAACAATTTCCAAACGAATTATCAACTTTCACAATCATCCGCGCACTTTCGGGCAAATTTCATCATTACACCTATCGACTATCAAAATACCGCGGTTGATTGTAAGTGAAATAAAACAATTATCCCACTTCTGCTTTTATGAAAATAGCACTATTTAAGGGATTAAACTTAATGTTTGCTTCTTTGAAATGTTAAAGCCAATTTTCAACAGACTTCCCAGTTTGTCATCTTTGGGGATTTTGTCGGATCCCCATTTCCTAAATAAACAACCGAAAAACGCATTTTGCCTCTTATATAAATAAAACTATATCAACACAACCTCAAAAATAAATTACAGACACCCAAATAAATCAACGAAATAATAAAACATCGACATAAACAAGTAATATCAAGTCCTTAACTTTGGAGGAAAACTATGTATTCAGCCCAATCAGGGACGGGCACAACTTTCCGGATTTTTTTTAAAGATAATGATTGAATAGTAGAAATTTTTGAAAGTTCAAAAAATATCGTTTTAAAAAGTCTTACCTTATAAAAACTTGTGTATATAAAAAGAAAAAATGCAGTTTTATTAATTTTTAGTAGTTACGATATAATTCGTTCAATAGCGCTTTATTGTATGATGTTGGAATACGGTGAAAGACAAAATGTCCCCGTTTACAGTAATTTGTACCTTCATAATTTGTTATCAAAAGGCTTTTACGATTATCTTTTTCTCATAATGAATAAAGCATTATGTGTTTTGTTTGAACAAATCAAAAAAAGACATATACTTGAATGCAGCCTTTGAAGAAAAACCAAACTGTATGCCACTCATGATCTGTATTTGAATCAAATTTGCTAGCTAAACGCTAAAATAAAAAAAAAAACTGCACCATACGACTTTTTGACGACCAATCTTAAATTCAAGTAAAAACAGTTTTCTAGGACTGTGCAAATTTTTAGCCGTGTATTATGAAGTGAAATTAAACTCTTTTAATATTCGACTTTTTCCTATTCCGTCACCGCACTATAATAACAATATCAAAGTGAAAACAATATTAAACAAGTATCATTTAGTGTATGCTCGAAACTATTAGCCTGGTGAACATTTCATCTAGAAGACGATGCATTTCTGAAAATTTAACTTAGAAGATAACTGTATTGTAATTTAAGCTTGGCCAACGCAGAACGTAGGGTTTACTATGCAAATTGAATTTATCCAGCAACGCGTAGCGGTTGCTGTCTG